GGCAATACAATTGTGTTTAAAAAACTAATTTGAGAGTCTCTTTGTAGATGTCACGAATCCGGTCCGTGGCCTTCCAGCCGATTACCAGTAGAGGTCACTCTACCATTACATTGACTCTCACACTACACAGACTGTTACATGTCACTCCGGACTACAGTTCCCATCCTGGATGGTATTGCGATCACTAGAGCACTATGTTCGCGAATTTTTAGCCATAGCACACTATTCTGATCTACCAGACTGTCTTTTGATTGAGTTTTTTTGTGATGGCCTTAATCAACCTCTACGATCTGAGCTTAGACGCGAGGGTCCACGTTCGTCACCGAGTTGTTTTTTGGACTTTACTTTGTTGACTTGACTCTCTATTCACTGTGTGTATCGCGGAGGAACGTGACCCCGCACTCACTCGTGTTATGGCTCCCGCACTAGATTACGCTCACAAAATGGCGGACACAAAAGCGCCCCGTTATGTGAAAGTTGATCTTCATGAACCAAGTCAAATCACAGCTGATCGTCATGAGGCAAGTCAAGTCACGGCCAATCTTCAAAAGTCAAGTCAAGTCACAGTTGATTACCCTGAGTCAAGTCAACTCACAGCAGATCTTCCCGAGTCAAGTCACAGTTGATCGTCATGAGTCAAGTCAAGCCACAGTTGATTACCCTGAGTCAAGTCAACTCACAGCAGATCTTCCTGAGTCCAGTCAACTCACAGCAGATCTTCCTGAGTCCAGTCAAGTCACAGTTGATCTTCCTGAGTCCAGTCAAGTCACAGTTGATCGTCATGAGGCAAGTCAGGTCACAGTTGATCGTCATGAGTCAAGTCAAGTCACAGCTGATCTTCCTGAGTCCAGTCAAGTCACAGTTGATCGTCATGAGGCAAGTCAGGTCACAGTTGATCGTCATGAGTCAAGTCAAGTCACAGCTGATCTTCCTGAGTCCAGTCAAGTCACAGTTGATCGTCATGAGGCAAGTCAAGTCACTACATGTCACTCACAGCCTTCACTAATCACACGCTCACCTGAGAGCCATTACTCACTCTATTTAACACCCACTCAGTTCCTGTTCAGATCGCTGAGTATTGTCTAGCGCTTTTCACTCCCCTAGTGTTAGCTGCCTTACCGAGCCTAGTGTCTTGTTTTTCCTTGTTTTCATCATCTTGCCTTATCTGTTTCCCCTTGTTCTGATCACTGCCTGTGTACCTGGATTATCCCTCGAGTCTCGCCTAATTGGATACTGTTCGCCCCTGCCTGGACCTTTGCCTTGTACCTGGATTATCCCTCTTGCCTTGCCATCAATATACCTGTTTGCCATTGTCTGACCTATGCCTGTTTTTGACCACGTCTCTTGCGAATAAAGCCTTGCAGATGGATCCGCAGGCTTCCTGTGTTCCCTCCGTTACTGCAGATCTGTATATATGCAATTACATTTTAATAAATAGCGTTTGTTTTGATCGTTAACTATTCTGTGTTTGTGAATCCGTTCAGCGATCTGATGATTCAGTTCAAAAAGACACTTAGTGGTTGCCAGCTACTGATATTGCTACAAAAAAAATTGTTTTTGTGAACAGAGTTAAAAGATTCAAGTCACTGGTATGAATCAAAATAACCACTACTACAAGGCATGCAGGGATCCATTGTTCTCATTATAATGGGGCACAGCTCTTGCTCATTCCTCAGCAGATCTGAATGCAACAGCAAAGTAGTTTTTCATTTGCCTTTTCCTCTGCAAAGTGTACAACAATTATACAATATTTAAGGCATGACATAGACATGTTATACTGTGTTGCATTGTAAGTACTCCAGATTAGTACAGTAATGATGATCATGCCTTTGAAACGCTGATGTGCTTACCGTGCTGTCTTTTGAAATTTAATTATAATGAGCCTGGGAGAAAAAACAGCTTTGTATTTTAGAGGTACAGACTTTGCAGGCAAAGGAGTTTTACAAAATTATACTCTGTGTAATAAGCTGTCAGTGCACTCCTCTTGAACACTAGTACAATTTGATCATGTTGCTCTTTAAAGACAAAGGTAGTCAAATGTATTCCTGCATTGCTCAATCAACTGATTGGCTGGTCAATTTAATGATTAACTGTAAGGTAATATATTGCTTGACTGATTTGTTTAGTCAAGAGTAGCAATACCATTTTTGCATCTGTAATGCCTTTGACTTGCTAGTTGTAGTTTAAAAGATGCTTGATATTGAGTAATATTATTGATTTGACTGCACTGAAATCAGATGAGAACAAAACTTGACCTGAATTGAGTTGGAACTATTGTCTTCTGTAGAGCTGCTTTACAGCCGATTTGAATTAGTTTCATGACAGATGAATTTTGCAACATCGACACTTATTGAACTGAACTGAATTAACATTGAACTGACTTGAGTTGAATGACAACACTTGTCTTCTATAGAGGTGCTTTTAACTGAATTGAATTTGTTTCATAATTGATGAACATTACACAGACATTATTATTATTATTGTGCTTTACAGCAGAATTTGAATTTGTCACATATTTGAAGAAGTTTGCATCATTGGTTCTGTTATTTTTCTTTTTATTACACTGAAGCTGCTTTGAAAAATTCTGTATTATATAAAGCTCTATAGAAATAAAGGTGAGTTGGCTTCTACAGTGTAAAAAGTGTCAGATATTAAACACTTAGAATTCTAAACTTTACATTCAATCCTCAATCGCATGTATCATGAATGTTGATTAGGTTCTTTTCTCATGACAGCAGGCTAAAAGGCTCTCTAGAATTTTAATAATCTTATTAGGCAGTGAAGGCATTGTTGTGGGCTTTCTTTTAAAAGAGAACCTTATTTAACCCATCTATCCATCATCTGTTTAGCTGTGAGATGACTAGAATTTAATGTGATTTGTTTAATTTAACTTTGACTCATCACATTGACAAAAGGTGGCTTAATGTTGGCCCAGGGCTGAATTCACAGGGCCCAGGACATCTTCAGGCCCAAAGAGCCCCTCTTGTCATAGGTCCATGCAACCGTGAACAGCAAAATATAATTTATTACATGCCTCAGAAAGACAATTAGGTATTCTACATTTAAAATATGCAAAATCAGATATGTCAGATGCTGTTTCTCTCTTTGTAAGCGATATACATGGAAGGAGGCATTCCATTAAAGCTGATGTTAACAGAATTAAAAACGCTAAGTTAACTTTTTTCCCAAAGTGTAAGCTCAGCAGTCTTCAAAACATCAAGTCTGAAGCTGGTAATCACTGGGTGCCTGCGTAAAGGTAGATTATTTATTTGAATTAGAACCCTTGATAATCTTCATCTGGATTTTTCTTGACAGATGTTTCGTTTTGCAGCGCAACCGTGCAATTGATTAGCCACATGCGAAGGAGAAGCTGTCAGACACTTGACACCAGTGATCCTCTGTCCTCCCTATCTCTCTTTCAGTCCTCTTTCCCCGCACCATCTCCATTAATCTTTTTCCGCCTTCAAACCACCGTCTCTCTTTATGCATCACATCCCCACACGCCTGTCTCCGTTACATGGTGTTTTTCAGTCAACAGATCTGCTCCACCGCTCCTGTCCTTCATTACCTGAGGCCAGTGCTTAATATTTAATATGTCTTTGCATTACATTTCAGGGTTGTGTCCCTTGAAATGTGCTTTAAGCTTAAAGCCATAACTCTGTAATGTGCAGGCTTGTGATTAAGTGATAAGAGCCCTTACGGTCTGTCAGGTGTGCCGTCCCCTATGATGCATGTTTTACCCTCAGCTTCATTTAGATTATTGACTCATGGGGAGATTTCTAGCAGCACTGTTCTTTGTACGCAACAAAAAGTATTTGTACTTTAAACACATACATAGTGTGAAATTTAGAGAAGGCACAAAGCAGTTTTATAACTGAAAGGTCACACTTACAATACAGTATTTATGTTACTGTGTAAACTGTTGTACTTCCTGAATACATCTTGTATTTTATGTACAATTTGATTTTAGATTTTCCTTTTCTGCAGAAAGGTTGGTTGCCAGAGTGTTATTAAGGCGGTTGCTTACTAGTTAGGTGCTTACTGGTTGCTTACTTGCCCAGAAGCATTATTTACAGAAATTGCTTATCGCAGGGATGTATCTAATACAGAGGATTCAGTTCTTCAGTTTTTATTTCATAAGTATGTGTTATATTGACGGGAAATAGAGCTTGGAATTTGTTGTTGTTAATACTTTGTGTTCATTGCAGGCGTTAAAGGAACAGTTCATACAGAAAAATGAAAATTACTTACCCTCTTGTCATTCCAATTCTGTATGACTTCCTTTTTCTGCAGAACACAAAAGAATATATTTTTTGAAAGAATGTTGATAATCAAATGTTGCTATCAACGTTTTGGTTACCACTGTAAAAGAAAAAAAAAATCTGTCATTTCTCAAAATATCCTCTTAAAATCCATGTAATACTTGTTTGTGTATTTGAATAAGAGTCTAATATGAGTTTCTTAAGATAAATATCTATTGTAGGACATCTATCCACTGACCTCTCCAGACTGATAGCAGATTTAAAAGTTCCAGCCATCCATTCTCCAGCTGCTTGTCCTATGTAGGGCAATAAATGAAGGTGTCAAGTTAATTTCAGAATCTTAAAACAGTAAATGAGCATGCTAAATTATTGGTGCGTATGACATAATTAATATTCATGAATTAAGCTTTCGCATTTAGTGACGTCCCCCCCCCCCCCCCCCCCCCCCCCCCTTGCCCAATTTGGATGAGTGAGACATCCAAATTGGGCAAGTGTTGTTAAAATGAATTATTATTTTAATTGATTCGAATTTGAACATGCTTTAAAAGGAAACTTGTAATGTAGCAAATTTAAAAGCGCACAGTTCTCAGCTGGAGGACAATGCCCCCGCAGAGATCCCTCCCCTCCTCCTCCCATCTGGGAAGTATACAAGTTCTCATCGCGCTTACCGCGCATCAGTCCGCTGTGTTCGGCGCTGAGCGCGACACCTCTTCTCTGACAGCACACGCACTGATCTCAAATGGCTTCGGATTAGGACTGAAAGAAGACGTTTGACTTTTGTTTTTTTGGGGAGTGAATGCGTACATGGTTCATCTTTGGTAAATCGTGATGACCACACTGTGAATGACATTTCGTTTGGAGACAGAGATCCCTGAGGAAATTAATTGTCCCGTATTGTGTTGTATGTGATGTGTTTCACGTGTTTGCGCACCACAGTGGGGCAGTTTGACTGACACGTGTTCCCACGGACCGTTAAATGCCCGGGATCCGGATCCTTTGGGTGATCTATACGGTGGATGCGGCGGAAAGAAAGGCCGTTCTGTGATCACCGGGAGCGGGGACAATATGAAGTATCTCAGAAAGTGGAATTGCACCCGGACCATTTGGATTATTTATCCAGAGATGATTCTTTTTCCAGTTCTTTGGTTTTTATCTCAAACTCGGGCGGCCCCGTCTATAACAGCCGAGCAGATGGATATGGGGGTGGTAGGTGCTCTTTCAAGCCTGTTTTAAGAATAATAATGATCGTTTAGGGGGAAAGGCGTGAAATAAAAACCTGTGGCCTGTGGGTATAGATAATTACACGTATCAGACACGTGTATGAAATCGAAAATATATTCGTACTTGCGCTCCCACGCGTCTGAATCTACACAAAGTAACGGATTTATTTCATTTATTTCTTCACAGAAGTCAAGTTTCACCCGCGACGATTCAGAACCAGATCGTGCGTGAGAGTGTTAAAGAAATAGTTCAGCCAAAAATGAAACCGTGTCATCGTTTACTCACCATCATTTTGTTCCAAACCTGTATGACTTTCTGTCACGCACAGAAGACTGGCGTTCTCGGTCACCATTCATTGCATTTTTCTTTCCTTATAATAAAAGTGAATGGTGACTCTGAGGCTGTCGTTTCCTTTTGTGTACCGCTGAAGAATGTCAGTCAGACTAATCTGGAATAATATGACTCTGAGGGTGAGTAAATGACGGCAGAATTGGTGAGCTATCACTTTAAATATCGAGTCGTTCACTTGTGGGTTATTTTCATATTCGTTACCCGATTATGTGCGAAGTATAACTTACACAAACACCGTACATCTCATCCACACACGCATTCCTCATTTAGACCGACGAGAAGGGTCGTGGGTCGTATTTCTGCAAATCGAGTGTCCCGTTTACGCTGGAAGATGTCGGTAAAGTTGATATGGCCAGATGCTGTAGCCCATGTAAGACGCTGTTTTTGTGTTTGTCTATAATTGGAGCCATAATCAACCTCTTCTCAGACACTTTCCCCCTCAAACTCACTTTCATTCTGCGCGCGGTTTCAGAGATAATCCTTGACGTGACATTTTCACGCGCACCGAGCTTTGGAGAGCGCGTGAACCGTGCACATTTTCTTTTGAATTTGTCTAGAGAAATGTTTGTTTATTTACTAGGATTCTTTGGCTGAGAATTTGTCCATTGCGCAAACTATATTTAAGTTATTATTAAATTATTTATTTGTACAGTTCACACTGGGGAAAATCAGGATAGCGCAAAGAGGCGCAGACTAAATAAATAAAATTGCTTACTCTTTAGTTGCATTCAATCATCCCTTTTTCATGCCTTTACATATTCATCTCTGAAACAGAGGTCATTCACCCATTTTGTTTTTGATGATGTACTTGCCTCAATGTGTACCCTAGGTAAGAAAAGCAGCATTTTTTAACAATAAGGAGTTATGCGTATGAATTAGTCTAGTGCAGTTTTTTCATTTTGTGTGCACAGAGATTTTTTTTAAATATATATATATATATATATATATATATATATATATATATATATATATATAAACCAATCAATATTTACTTGCAACTTTACATGACAGATTTGTTTTCCATGGGGGAAAAAAAATTAAAGTATGGCTATGGGTATATGCATTTTAAATATAATGGTTTGGAGAATGTGCTATTCAGTTGGACTGACCACATTTAGACACGCATTTTAGACGATAACTTTTTTTTCCCTACAAAAATCATGCCTAGTAAATACATTTTTTAAAATAATTTTTCCCCCTAAAGCTTTAAAATAGGTTATGCTTAAAAATCCCAGGTGGTCCATGTCCCCAGACTTTGAATGGGCTTTAGTTTGTGTTCTTGCATTCATATGTATGTGTTTATCACGCTTGGCTATACATCGGCAACAAAAGCATGTAATTTCAGTTAACAAGAGTACTCCAATACTCACTTGTTAAGTTGTTAAGTTGTTCTGTTCTATATTTGATTTTACTCTTCAAAGATATAGATTTTCCTAATCAATATCCTTTTGTCTTTCATATCCAGTAACTTTCCAAGTATTCATAAAGTACTGTGTATTGATCACTTGTGGTCAGATTTTGCCTTCACTTTAATAACCTCTTGTAGTAGAAACTTTTAGCAGCGTCCAATAGGATTTTCATTTAAACTCTCAAATGACTGGCAGAGAGTTTAAAGGCTCCTTTTTTTTAATGACCCTCAAAAATCTAATCTTGCACTACTGAGCAGTTGCTCCGTGCATATAATGAGGCTGTTGATATATGTCAGCATGTGACACTGCATGTCACCAAATCTCTGATCATTAAATTTGGCATAGACGCTCTGCAAAGAACAGCAGATTTTGGGTTGTTTTTTATTTTATTTTGGTGGTCAAATGTGACCACCACTTTGTGAGAATAACCAAAGTAGATCAATTCAGTTAGATTCCTTTTTTGTAACATGCTGCAAAGGTGTTTTTCTAGCTTTTTTTATTTTGCATTACATTGCATTCTGTTTTAAAATCCTCTGAGTCAAACTAATGTAACGTCTTTAACGAGAGCACCAGCTGGACCCATCAACGGATGAATGCAGCAGCGCATGGCCTCCACTGCCTGCCACCCTCACCTATGCTGTACTCATCATAGTACACACCACATATTAGCTCACAAGCTCCGAGTGGCACATCCTCAACTGAGCCAAAGAGAGTCAGCCACCTCTGCTTTCATGAGCCGGTCCATCATTCACAATGTCAATTTGACCAATGTTCTCACTCACTGGCTCTCACTTCTAATTACCCAGAAATACTTCAGCATGAGTGGGGCGGGCCTGCAGTTGACATCCAAAGCGAGGTGGCCGAAAGCCAGCGTAGACCCACCACAGAGTAATCAAGAGAAAGGGATGAGTATGAGAGCGCAGCCTTGGCGACTAAAAGGGGCCACAGCATTTAGAGAACTGGTAAACATTAAATCAGTAGCGTTCCTCTTTGGCTAATATAGACCTGTTTCTCTGGAATAATGTACTGTGGATTGATTTGCAGCTGCAGTAAATCAGGTGATTAGTCATACCTGTCTGTCGGAATTGGCTCCATTTTGCATTTCCTTACTGCTCAGACAGATATATAACAATGCACTGAGTTGTAGTAACTATTCTTGTGCTGGGTGGGCCTGTAGTTTGGTGCATGTCCTACTTTCGGCTGTCGTTCTGGATTCTGGTGACCTCTAGTCCATTGCCAGGCATCTGGAATTTGGGATTTGGAACGAGGAGATTATTTCAGGAACAAGGTCTGTGGAGAGGTGGCGGAGGTGTGGATGAGAATAGATTTGGCACAGTGAGGCAGCAGAGTAATGTGTGTTGAATTATACACCTGCTAAACCTGCATGCCTATAGTCATATTTTTGAACGTCTATTAGTCTGCTTAATTAGATTCTCTCACGACCTGGAAGTTACGATGCACAACTTCCAGGAAATCAGGTTTAAAGTTTGGCAGTCAGAGTCGCTGTCCAACAACAACAACAACAGTGATGTATCTTTGTCCCAAGCTATCACACTGTTTTTGATTGTGTCCAGCCCAGAGTGGAGAAAAGCACTAGGGAGGAATAGAAAAGGATGGAGGCTCATCACTCTCTTCTCACTCCTATATTATAGCCCATTCGAAAGAATCCCTGGATGGTGTTTGTAGATATATAGAGTGTCAGACAGATAGACCTTTAAAGGGCCTCAGATACTGTTTCTCATTGGCACTCAGTGCAGCTCATCTCTCAGAGACAAGTATCTTTTAGGCTTTGTGCTTCTTTCTGACCCTGTAGCCTGTCTTGATGACATGAGCAGCAATCTGGATGCTGGGTCAGGCACATGGTTTGCACTCTTTAATAAGAGCCGTGCCTTGTGTCAGACAAAGTCAAATGGCTTTGGAAAAACTTGTATACATTGTCAATTTGTCCTTACTGACTTACGGCATTTGTACGGGGGAATAGCAACCGTTTATATTAACTCACCTTTTGGGAGAAAAAAAGTTGATACACACACATACTCATATGAACTTAAGAAGTTAAGAACTCATACTTATACATATAATACTATGTGTGTGTGTGTATCAATATTATTACATTTTCAGGCATGAAAAAAAGTATTTAGTAATTCTAATTATAATAAAATAATATGTAATAAATAATATATTCTAATATGCTGATTTGCTCCTAAAAAAATCATGTTTTATTATTATCAGTGTTGAAAACAGTTGTGTAATTTATTTCAGCATTCTTTGATGAATAGAAAATTGAAAAGAACAGCATTTATCTTAAATGGATTTTTTTGGAAAGAAATTAAAGAAATTACTACTTTTATTCAGCAAGGATGCATTAAATTGATCAAAAGTGACGGTAAAGGCATTTATGTTTTTTATAATGAAAAAAAGCTTTCTATTTGTTTTTTAGTTTTTTTTCCTATTTGTGTTTTGTGTAACTTTCTGTTTGTGTGTGTAGTTTTAGCTTTTTTCCAGGCCTGAAAAAAATTGTATTGTAAACTAGTCTAGTGAATTCAAATTTCACTGATAAGGCAAAAATCATGAATAACAGTCATTTGTCAAAAATTGTGGGAACCCTGAAAATGCAACATTTAATAGTTGAAACGTACCATTCTATGCTTTTATGGCTGACACAATGCATATATATATATATATATATATATATATATATATATATATTGAAGTGTGCTATCATTTTGTTCAACATGTACACTGGCAAAAGAAACACCTAAAATAGCTAGTGCTCTGTGCACGCTAATGATGTATTTTTGGTATGGGCCCTATGAACGTTACCAGCCAGGGTAGTGATTATACTGAAAGCCTCAATGGATAAACCTCAGGAAACACAGTGCCCTGTAATAAGTCAAATGCATGAGGGAATGAAAAGAGCAGGACCCTTCGCCAGCAGCTAGCTCTGAGTACTAATAGATCAAACTGTGTGGTAAAGGAAGTAAGAAGGATGTACTGTAGTTGCACGCAATATTACATGCTTTCCATTGGATTGCACGGATTTCAGCACTTCAGAACCAATGCTGTTCAAGTCAAAATGACTAAAGAATACCCTAAATTAACTCCATGTGCACATTTAGTCTTATTTTAGCCCGGGGTACCCCTATCCTCCCCTGGCAGGCTGAGATCAAGGACGTCTTTGCCATGGCTGTCCAAGCAACCGACTGGTTCTTATAATTACGGTGG